TCCTCCCATCATCAAACTCCTCCTCCTCCCTCTTGTCTCCCACCACCACCTCCTCTATCCTCCCATCACTACACTCCTCACACTCCTCCTCCTTCCAGTAACCATCCATCTCCTCCTCTGTCCTCCCATTACCGTACTCCTCCTCCCTCACAGAGCCCTCCTCTCCTCCCTCTGGTCCTCCTCTTCCTGTCCCTTCAGCCTCCCCCCTGCAGACCCAGTGACTCCTGCCCCCTGGCTCCCTCGTCCGCCTTGGTGAATCAATGCTGTGATCAGGGGGGCGGAGTCACACCAGTCGACACCTACCAGCTCCTCCTCCTTCAGGACAGACAGCTGCGCCTCCTGCAGGCTCAGGTGAGAACACATTAAATAATCTGCAGTCAGGCCGGCCTGATGGTTTGTAGCCTGTTCACAGCTGTGATGTAGAGGTACATATAAGTGACCTCCATCAATTACCTTCTGACTACGTTTCCCACAGTGCACCTCTCATTCTGAATGTCATTAAACTTGACGACATTGTTTTTTTTAATAATAGATTCAGAAAACTGATGATGAGTAATCTCAGGAGCCTCTGATTGGTCAGAGTGGAGTTGTTTGTAGTTGTCATGGTAACAGTGTTTGGTGTTGGTGGACGGCCTCAGGTGCAGATGTTGTTGGAGGCGCAGGGAAATGTCAGACCTCCAGCCAGCAGGCCGACACTCAGACGCCACGGAGCACCGCCAGCGTCGCCGGGAACAGGTGAGACAGGAAGCCGGTGATAAGACTCACCTGATGAGCAGACAGTGATCTGAGTGACAGGTGACTCATCATCTCTTTTGTGTTTTCAGGGGCCAGTCTTCTGGGGGGATCCTGGGCAGGAGGTCCATGCTCCTCCCACCTCCTACAACAGCCCCTTGTCCTCACCCAACCCCCCCACACACTGACACATCTGCTGAGGATGCTGACGTCCTGGATCAGAAGGCTGCTGCATACAGAGGTGAGTGTGTTGTCTGTTGTGACGTCAACGGGGGGGGGGCTCATGGTAAATCTACGGGCTGGACTGCCAATCCAATCAAGTTGTACACCGCCACCAACATTCTGTAAATGAGTTTCTGAAATGTCTGAACGGGGGCAGTGAAATGTGTGAAAGACGTTCATGAAGGATCGTGTCCTTTATGTTGGAGCTGAGTTGGGGGGGGGGTCGCCCCTCTAAAGGAACATTACATGATGATGATGATGTTCTGTTTCAGCTTCAGCGGGCTGCAGAGTCCCGTCCTGGGGAGAGCGCCAGCATGTTCACGCCTGCAGACGAGCAGCAGAGCTTCTACCACAACCTGCAGGTACCTGAGAGACGACCTGTTGAATCATAATCTTTATTTATATCCTGATTCATGAACACGTTCTGTGGTCCTTAAGAATCAGCTCAACAGCCGTCTGCAGGAGCCCGGCGACTCCAGGAGAAACAGCCCCCCTGCAGCTCCTGACCGCTCACACTCCTCCGCCTCCTCCTCCGCCTCCTCCTCGGCGTCCTCCTCGGCCTCCTCCTCGGCGTCCCGGGGGAAGCAGCAGCGAGGAGGGGACCCGGTGGTCAGCGCCACTCTGAGGCAGCTGCAGCAGCTCGGAGTGGATCTGCACGAACAAGATCTGACGGAGTCTGAAAGAAGAAAGCACCAAACTGTGGAGAGCAGCAGGTACACACTCACCTGAGGCTCAGCCGGTCTCACCTGAGGCTCAGCCGGTCTCACCTGAGGCTCAGCCGGTCTCACCTGAGGCTCAGCCGGTCTCACCTGAGGCTCAGCCGGTCTCACCTGAGGCTCAGCCGGTCTCACCTGAGGCTCAGCCGGTCTCACCTGAGCATCAGTTGTCTCACCTGAGGCTCAGCCTCTCAACCTGAGGCTCAGCCGGTCTCACCTGAGGCTCAGCCGGTCTCACCTGAGCATCAGCCGGTCTCACCTGAGCATCAGCCGGTCTCACCTGAGCATCAGTTGGTCTCACCTGAGCATCAGTTGGTCTCACGTGAGTATCAGTTGGTCTCACCTGAGCATCAGTTGGTCTCACCTGAGCATCAGTTGGTTCTCACCTGAGCATCAGCCGGTCTCACCTGAGGCTCAGCCGGTCTCACCTGAGCATCAGTTGGTCTCACCTGAGCATCAGTTGTCTCACCTGAGTATCAGTTGGTCTCACCTGAGTATCAGTTGGTCTCACCTGAGCATCAGTTGTCTCACCTGAGTATCAGTTGGTCTCACCTGAGCATCAGTTGGTCTCACCTGAGCATCAGTTGGTCTGCTTTGTTGAGTTGACACATTGCTCACACTTGCTGCTTGTGTGGTGTGTGTGTGTGGTGTGTGTGTGGGTGTGTGGTGTGTGTGGTGTGTGTTTGTGTGTGTGTGTGTGTGTGTGTGTGGTGTGTGTGTGTGTGTGTGTGTGTGTGTGTGTGTGTGTGTGTGTGTGTGTGTGTGTGTGTGTGGGTGTGTGTGTGTGGTGTGTGTGTGTGCTGTGTGTGTGTGTGTGTGTGTGGTGTGTGTGTGGTGTGTGTGTGTGTGTGTGTGTGTTGTGTTGTGGTGTGTGTGTGGTGTTGTGGTGTGTGTGTGTGTAGCACGTTGGCGTCCATCAACCGTTGGCGTCCTGTCCAGACTGAGCGTGTCCGAGCCGTCAGCCAGCTCTCTGTTTCCTGAAGCAGCGTGGATTTGAGATCTGGAGGCCAACGCCATTGCTCTGCGCTACCTCAGCGACTCTCAGCTCAGCAGCTCGTCTCTGGGAGGCCACGCCCCCCAACTAGCCCCCACCTCCTCCAAGACTCGCTGATGTCGCCGCCTAGCAAACATGTCTATGGCCACCAGGAAGTACATGAAGAGGTACGGCTTGATCGAAGAGGAAGACGAGGAGGAGCAGGAGTCGATGCTCGCCGCCCACTGACTGAAGCTCTGAACGTGAAGCTCCTCCCACAGAGTCAGCTGATCAGAGACCTGAGGCCCAAAATGCAGCTGTTAGCTAGCAGCTCCAAACCGCTAACCAGCGACAAGGAGAAACTGTTCCAGCGGGCGCCATCTTAGTGAGGGCGAGCAGCCGTCAGACAGAAGGATCAGTGGGAACATCCTGGACCTGAGCCGTCTGAGACAGCTACCCAAACTCTTCTGACCCCAAAAACCAGATTCTCATAGGACCAGAACCTGCTGAGACTTTTATAGAAACTTTAGTTTTTTAGACAATCTGGTGTAGTCCAGAACCTGCTGAGACCAGCAGGAGACCAGCAGGAGACCAGCAGGAGACCAGCAGGAGACCAGCAGGAGACCAGGGGTGTGACCGATCCTGCAGACTGTCAGATATAAGCTGGACTCCGTTGTGAATGAACGGACTCAGTTTGGACTCCATGAAAACCAGGACCTTTAGTCTGACAGCAGAGACCAGAACACCAAGACCTTTAGTCTGACAGCAGAGACCAGAACACCAGGACCTTTAGTCTGACAGCAGAGACCAGAACACCAAGACCTTTAGTCTGACAGCAGAGACCAGAACACCAGACCTTTAGTCTGACAGCAGAGACCAGAACACCAGGACCTTTAGTCTGACCAGCAGAGACCAGAACACCAGGACCTTTAGTCTGACAGCAGAGACCAGAACACCAGGACCTTTAGTCTGACAGCAGAGACCAGAACACCAGACCTTTAGTCTGACAGCAGAGACCAGAACACCAGGACCTTTAGTCTGACAGCAGAGACCAGAACACCAGGACCTTTAGTCTGACAGCAGAGACCAGAACACCAAGACCTTTAGTCTGACAGCAGAGACCAGAACACCAGGACCTTTAGTCTGACAGCAGAGACCAGAACACCAGACCTTTAGTCTGACAGCAGAGACCAGAACCCAGACCTTAGTCTGACAGCAGAGACCAGAACACCAGGACCTTTAGTCTGCAGCAGAGACCAGAACACCAGGACCTTTAGTCTGACAGCAGAGACCAGAACACCAGGACCTTTAGTCTGACAGCAGGACCAGAACACCAGGACCTTTAGTCTGACAGCAGAGACCAGAACACCAGGACCTCTTAGTCTGACAGCAGAGACCAGAACACCAGGACCTTTAGCTGACGCAGAGACCAGAACACCAGACCTTTAGTCTGACAGCAGAGACCAGAACACCAGGACCTTTAGTCTGACAGCAGAGACCAGAACACCAGGACCTTTAGTCTGACAGCAGAGACCAGAACACCAGGACCTTTAGTCTGACAGCAGAGACCAGAACACCAGGACCTTTAGTCTGACAGCAGAGACCAGAACACCAGGACCTTTAGTCTGACAGCAGAGACCAGAACACCAGGACCTTTAGTCTGACAGCAGAGACCAGAACACCAGGACCTTTAGTCTGACAGCAGAGACCAGCGTTTGCTGTTTTTGTCACTTCCTGTTTTAAATGTTTTTTTTGCACATATTTTTTAATATTTATGATTGAACAATAAATTTCATGAAACTTAAACCCTGAAGTCGTCATGTCCTCAGTGTGTTGTTTCCTCGTGTTGCCCCGCCCCCTGCTGGTCAGCTGAGTGTGTTGTTTCCTCGTGTTGCCCCGCCCCCTGCTGGTCAGCTGAGTGTGTTGTTTCCTCGTGTTGCCCCGCCCCCTGCTGGTCAGCTGAGTGTGTTGTTTCCTCGTGTTGCCCCGCCCCCTACTGGTCAGCTGAGTGTGTTGTTTCCTCGTGTTGCCCCGCCCCCTGCTGGTCAGCTGAGTGTGTTGTTTCCTCGTGTTGCCCCGCCCCCTGCTGGTCAGCTGAGTGTGTTGTTTCCTCGTGTTGCCCCGCCCCCTGCTGGTCAGCTGAGTGTCCTGCACTGTGTTATTGATCAGATGTTCCTGGCGCTGCGAGCTGTTGACTGACAGACGATCAATGTCTCAAAGGTCGCTGTGACGTTTCAGTGCTCTGCAGGACACTGACCTGACTTCAGCTCAAACTGAAGAACGCCGTCTGAATTTTCTCGACCTGCTCAGGTAACATCTCACTGCTTCCTCCTTCAGGTGAGCTCTGGATGTGTTAGACAGGTTCACCAACTGGTCGTCTGCGTGAGGTTTTAATCATTTGACCCGTTGAGGTGTAAATATTATCAAATGATCGTTTCAGGTTTAATGAGACCAAACGAACGCTTCGCAGCGCAGACGGAGAGCTGACGGAGTATGTGTGGGTCACTGTGTGTGTGGGAGTCACTGCATGTGTGTGTGTTTCTTTTGGTGTGTTGTGTGTTGTTTTGGTGTGTGTTGTGTTGTTTTGGTGTGTGTGTGTGGGAGTTACTGCATGTGTGTGTGTTCTTTTGGTGTGTTGTGTGTTGTTTTGTTTTGGTGTGTGTGTTGTGTTGTTTTGGTGTGTGTGTTGTGTTGTGTTGTTTTGGTGTGTGTGTGGGAGTTACTGCATGTGTGTGTGTTCTTTTGGTGTGTTGTGTTGTATTGGTGTGTGTGTGGGAGTTACTGCATGTGTGTGTGTTTTGGTGTGTTGTGTGTTGTGTTGTGTTGTTTGGTGTGTGTGTGTGGGAGTTACTGCATGTGTGTGTGTTCTTTTGGTGTGTTGTGTGTTGTTTTGTTTTGGTGTGTGTGTGTTGTTTCCATGTGTGTGTTGTGGTGTTTTCGTGTGTGTGTGGGAGTCACTGCATTGCTTCTTCACTTTCTGTTTATATTTTGTGTTTTTGGCTCCATGGTTTTTATCACAAACTGTAGATCTGTAAAGCTACTCTTTACATTTGACCCTTCAGGGCCTCCGTAGAAATCGACTTTTTTAGACCACCTCGTCCAGTTCTGTAAACATGTTGATAAAAACGGGCTAAAGTGGACACTCGAGGAACTGCAGTTTATTATTAAATAAATAAATATCACCGTTTTAAACTTTGTGGTTCACTTTTAAATATTTGATCGTCTAGTTTAAAAACATTTTTTAATCAGTTTTTGTGATTCGAGATCAAACGGTTTAACTCTTCCTGGAACTAGTTTGATTGCTCTCCTCTGATTGGCTCTCAGAATGAGGGCTGCTGATTGGCTGTTGGTTCTGGCGTCCCTTGCCCTCCTTGCCCTCGCCGTAGATGCCGACATCTGCGGCGCCAAACCGAGAGACCTCCCTCTGGAGCCACGCTGCATCTACCGCAGCCCCGACTCGAGTCCCCGAGGACCCGACCGACCAGCCGAGCAGGTCCCCGAGTCCACCAACCCCCGAGTGTGGGAGCTGTCCAAGGCCATCGGTCGCTTCGCCCTGTCACTGTACAAACAGCTGTCCCTAAGCAGGACGCCGGACGCCAACATCTTCATGTCTCCAATCAGCATCTCCACAGCGTTCGCCATGACCAAACTGGGCGCGTGCAACAGGACGCTGCAGCAGATCATGAAGGTATGAGAGAACGTGCAGACAGAACCTGCTGTAGACTCCCCTCACTGACCATCTGTTTCTGCAGGTGTTTGAGTTCGACACCATCAAAGAGAAGACGTCCGATCAGGTGCACTTCTTCTTCGCCAAACTCAACTGTCGTCTGTACAGGAAGAAGGGCGACGCCACCGAGCTCGTCTCCGCCAACCGCCTGTTCGGAGACAAATCTCTGATCTTCAACGAGACGTACCAGAACATCAGCGAGATGGTTTACGGAGCCAAGCTGCTGCCCCTCAACTTCAAGGTAACCTGACACCTGTCCACAATGGACCAATCAGGGCTCAGCTTTGACTATAAGCATCGTGGTTCTGTTCTGCAGGAGAAACCCGGATAAGGCTCGGAAAACCATCAACGACTGGATCTCTAACAAGACGGAGAACCTGATTCAGGACACACTGCCACATGGGGCGCTGGACTCCAACACCATCCTGGTCCTCGTCAACACCATCTACTTCAAGGTACCGAACACACACACACACACACACACCTGAAGTCCAGGAGTCAGGTGATGCTACATTGTCCAGGTATTTGATCATGTCTATAAACCCCTCTATTTCAGCCCTGCTCAGAACAGGCTGTTTCTGTGTCTGTATCTTTAAATATGTAAATGAGCTGTGTCTGACCACGCCCCCTCTCTGGAAGGGCTTGGGTGTACTCTGTCTTTCTCGCTCCATGTCCTATTGTTTACGGTGAGAAGGCAGATTCAGAGGGCAGAACAAACACCTAGCTGTGGGAGTGTCACCCACCTGGGGGAGGGGCTACTGCCCTTTGTGATGTCATGAAGGGAACATCTCCAAACGGCCTGTTTGAGCACACATTTTCTGAAAAGTGGAGCAGGCAGAAGACGGAAAGGATGGACTTTTCTCATCATTGGGGGGTTTGTAGACGGACTAGAGACACGTTAGAGTTAGAGGAACATGGAGAAGTGGATTTCTGATAATGTGTGACCCTTGTTGGAAACTTTTACAAAGAAGTAATCTAGACTGAAGACTGAAGAAGTAGTTTAATTTAAAGCCTGGAAGTAATCTGAACTGATCCTGTGTGACAAAGCAAAAGAAATCTAAAGCAGGATATCATCAGCATAGAGGGAAACATTTTCCATTGAATAACTCTCAGCAGGGGTGCATGACAACCAGTCCATCTGGTGTGTTTCTGACGTGTATCTGGCGTGTTTCTGACGCGTTTCTGACGTGTATCTGACGCGTATCTGACGTGTTTCTGACGTGTTTCTGACATGTATCTGTGGTGTATCTGACGTGTATCTGGCGTGTTTCTGACGTGTATCTGACGTGTATCTGACGCGTATCTGACGTGTTTCTGGCGTGTATCTGACGTGTATCTGGCGTGTTTCTGACGCGTATCTGACGTGTATCTGACGTGTATCTGACGTGTATCTGACGTGTTTCTGACGTGTATCTGGCGTGTTTCTGACGTGTATCTGTCGTGTTTCTGGCGTGTATCTGTGGTGTATCTGACGTGTATCTGGCGTGTTTCTGACGTGTATCTGACACGTATCTGACGTGTTTCTGACGTGTTTCTGACATGTATCTGTGGTGTATCTGACGTGTATCTGGCGTGTTTCTGACGTGTATCTGACGCGTATCTGACATGTATCTGACGTGTTTCTGACGTGTATCTGGCGTGTTTCTGACGTGTATCTGACGTGTTTCTGACGTGTATCTGGCGTGTATCTGGCGTGTTTCTGACGCGTATCTGACATGTATCTGACGTGTTTCTGACGTGTATCTGGCGTGTTTCTGACGTGTATCTGACGTGTATCTGTCGTGTTTCTGGCATGTATCTGTGGTGTATCTGACGTGTATCTGGCATGTATCTGTGGTGTATCTGGCGTATATCTGGCATGTATCTGGTGTATCTGGCGTATATCTGGCATGTATCTGACGTGTATCTGGCATGTATCTGTGGTGTATCTGACGTGTATCTGGCATGTATCTGACGTGTTTCTGGCATGTATCTGTGGTGTATCTGACGTGTATCTGATGTTATTGTGTGTATCTGGCGTGTTTCTGGCATGTATCGTGGTGTATCTGGCGTGTTTCTGGCATGTATCTGTGGTGTATCTGGCATGTATCTGGCGTGTATCTGGCATGTATCTTACGTTTATCTGGCGTGTTTCTGGCATGTTATCGTGGTGTATCTGGCGTGTTTCTGGCAT